CAAACAAACAGTATTCAGCCAGAATATGCATGTGAATAGGAAAGAAATGTGAGAAGAGAAAACGGAATTGTTGTATAGCACCATTTCCATTCGTGATATTTTTCCGGACATAGTTTCATCAGATACGGCAAACAATGCACGAAAAAAGAGATAAACGGAACATGCTTTCATTGTCATACCATCTGCCCGCAAAAGAATGGCAAATTTGGTCGACAGACCCCATAATCAAGGTACATAATTAAAAAAAACTACCTATTTGTACAATGACCGGTTCATCACTGTAAGACTGGGTGTTATCCATATGGGACTCGGCCAGCTGCACCAAAGCGGGGACACAATTTCCTCCCTACTGTCATCTAAGGTTGAGAACACCTATATCCCGGGGATTCGTCTTATACATCCAATTACATTGCTCATCATCTGCGAAATAGACACAATTTGCCTTCAGTTGCGGATATTCTTCAGCACTGAGGCATATAGGCTGGTTATGCCCAAGAAACAAAACGTTATGATGCAAGCTATTTATTTCACGGAGCTTGTCGGGAGCATGGGTTGACATTTTGGGACCAACCATTTTGGGGTCTAAGTCCGGATCGTAAAGTTGTTGCTGCAATTTGTACATAATAACTGTGCCTGCATTGTCAAAGATTGGCTCTACATAACCAATGGTGACCACCGTCGGGGGAGCAATCTGTTGGCGAGTGACCGGATTGATAAGGTGTAGCTCAGGCTTGTCATCCGCGGTAACTAGCCAACCATGTGATGACCCAACAAGATACATGTTGCGGATGGGTGGATCCGGGAGAGTTAAATTGTAGACCCTCTTCTCCACGAGGCTGTAGAGACAAGCTACGTTCTCACCAGCAGATTCAGAGGTGTAGAGGAGGCAAGGCGTCTGAGGCCGTTTGTACTGCTCAAGCTGGCTTCAAATAAAATCCCTCTTCTTGCCAGCCTTCGATCAAACAGCATTTTGGCACATGCAACAGCTTGCCTACACTTGCAGTTAGAAAAGACACACCATTTCTGGTAGTGGTATAGACACACCAAGCCAGTGTATTCGCTTGTTTTCCCCAACAGCATCATCAAGATATAAGAGGTTTGTTACTGCTGATGCTCAACATCTTTCATACACCTGTATCACCAAGGCAAAAGCTCTTGGTAGAGCAAATTTTGCGCATAAGTGGCCTGAACCTGCACAATGCCCCATGTCATGTGTAAGTGGGAATCGATAAAAAAATTATACTATTATAGAGTGTAGTATTTCGATGAACAGCACACGATTCAATATTTACTAGACATCTATCCAATCTTTTATAAGTGCTGAAAACCTCTTGTTAGTCCAAGTATAAGGAGGCTGTTTTACATGATCGCAGAAGATATGAATTGTGTAAACCCACGTCAAAGCAACCACGTTGTTTCATAAGCAGGAGTACTTTTTCACTAGCCTACATTATGATATTCTGATGTCCCATACAAAAGTCAGGTCGAACCAAACCATCATTCACGAGAAATGATCATTCAGATCATTAGTTGTGATCCCTGTAGATTTCAATTTTAAGATATAGATTACCTACACTGCGAGGCATGGGTTGATGTTTGACTGTCGTGGCCCCTTGTTCAACCTCAACGTGAGATCAGATTCATAGCTGGCTAAGCACCTTGGAATCTGGCGCCAACAGTTTTTTTTTCCTATTTTTTTGGCAGACTACGCCAACTTGAAATTGTAGTGGAATATTGGTTCCCCATTGAGCATGAGATGGCTTGATGACTGTCGCTTCAGGGTTCTGCAATTCCCTCTCACCGATTAACAGATTCTTCTCTACCATTAAGATACCTCTGAAATCTGGAGCTTTCCATTATACACTGAGTGGATCAATAAAATTGTGAAGGTAATACTAAGAATTGCATAAAATTAGTTTCTGGGCTAATTTGAAGGGAAAACATTTGGAGTTGTGCCACCAGTTCCGCAAGTGTTTATGCTTATGTTCTATGCTACAATTTTGCCGACATGCATATTTCTACTTTTATTTTTAACCAAAACATGCACATGCCTTACAGGGAACATAAAATTGCATTATATACAAGGATAACAAAAATACACCAGCTAAATAAATAGTGAATTAGCACTGGTAATCATACCTACATAAGAAGCTGTGGAGTTCAGGTTGTTCGGGAGGGGGTACATACCAGAGGCATGCTGTACGGCTAACACGTCTTCACCTCATAAGGAAACCGTGATGTTTCCATGAGTATGCCGACAAACATGCCGACCACAGTACCGTTCGGTGTAAATTAAAGATTCTAAACTGTTTCGAGTGGCAATCTTCCTCTTTTTCAAAGTAACTCAGCCGAAATGCTTGCCAAATCATGAAAGAACCGTATCAAGTAGCCCAGGAGAAGAGTCTAATTTACTTATACCATTCAAATATAATCTTCAGTTATCTTGAACCATGGACAGGGATAAGCAATTCCACTGACAACATGTGCCGATAATAATCAGAAAATGATGTCACCTTCAATGGCTAGTTAATGAAGAACATTCCAATTAAATAAATGATACAGACACAATGAAAGCATCAGAAATACATAGTATATCATACCGAAGAGAATAATAGACCATGCTACTGGATGGTTACTACGTGGCTTGTACTTCCGGTTATTATTTTTTCCGAGAGTACGCAAATTGTACTTTCAGTTATAGTGGGGATGGGGGTGGGGGGGGGGGTATCAAACAAACAATATTCAGCCAGAATATGCATGTGAATAGGAAAGAAATGTGAGAACAGAAAACGGAATTGTTGTAAAGCACCATTTCCATTCCTAATATTTATTTTTCGGCCATAGTTTCATCAGATACAGCAAACAATGTATGGAAAAAAGAGATAAACGGAACATGCTTCCGTTGTCATAGCATCTGCCCACCAAAGAGTGGCAAATTTGGTCGACATACCCCATAATCAAGGTACATAATTAAAAAAAGCTACCTATTTGTACAATGACAGGTTCATCACTGTAAGACTGGGTGTTATCCATATGGGACTTGGCCAGCTGGACCAAAGCGGGGACACAATTTCCTCCCTACTGTCATCTTCAAGGTTGAGAACACCTATGTCCCGGGGATTCGTCTTATACTTCCAATTATGTTGCTCATCATCTGCGAAATAGACACAATTTGCCTTCAGTTGCGGATATTCTTCAGCACTAAGGCATATAGACTGGTTACGCCCCAGAAACAACACGTTATGATGCAAGCTATTTATTTCCACAAGCTCTTGTGCTTCCATATCGACTTTGTGTAACAAGATTTTATTAGTTTTAACTATGAGCTCCTCATAGCCCGCATCTATGAGTTCAGCCTTCCTGCAAACTTGCAGCAGATCACCCCATGGAGCCTGAAGAAGGTAGAATTCGCCCCTGTACTCAGAACTGTGAATGGCAATCTCATCTGCAATTATATTCCTCGTGACGGTAGGACCAGTGAGGTCAAAAGCATCCATTCTTCCGGCTCTTATGGATGCATACAATAGACCATCCATGTAGATGCATTGATCATAGTCCCAATCCAGCGTCAGCAAGGTCCACTTACAATCTCCTACCCTTGCAAACGAAAGCTGACATCCTGGACCATGGATGAGAACCACAATGTAGCTTCCTGTGGACGGATCCGGAAAGATAAATACCCTGATGTAGACATGGTCACGAAGCTTGTCGGGAGCATGGGGGAACATTTTGGGACCAACCATTTCGGGGTCTAAGTCCGGATCGTAAAGTTGCTGTCGCAATTTATACATAATAATTGTGCCTGCATTGTCAAATATTGGTTGTACATAACCAATGGTGACCACTGACGGGAGAGCAATCTGTTGGCCAGTGACCGGATTGATAAGGTGTAGCTCAGACTTGTCATCCGCGGTAACTAGCCAACCATGCGATGACCCAAGAAGATACCTGCTGCGGATGGGTGGATCCGGGAGAGTTAAATTGTAGACCCTCTTCTCTGCGAGGCTGTAGAGACAAGCTACATTCTCACCAGCAGATTCAGAGGTGTAGAGGAGGCAAGGCGTTTGAGGCCGTTTGTACAGCTTAAGCTGGCTGCAGAGGCTGGTATACGCGGAGCGCCAGGAGGAGCTGACAGAGGCCGCACGCATGAGGTCAGGTATCTCCAGGAGTGAAAATATGTCCATCAATACATCCTGCAGCAGCTCCGGCAAATTTCTCACCACAGTTTCAGTTTCCATGGGTGGTGAGACCTTTATCAATACATCCTGCAGCAGCTCCGGCAGTTTTCTCAACACAGTTTCAGTTTCCATCGCTGGTGAGACCTTTCTGAATTTCCCCAATGAACCGGGAGAAAGAGCCAGGAGCTTAGGCAAAATTTTCAGGCCAAAATGTGCAAAGCTCGTTATCCTGGCTACGCTACAGACCTCCATTAGAGCAATTGCAAAAGCAGGTCTTGTTGGAGAAGAGTTGCTTCAGCGGCAAACCAATTGGACTTGGCTTGTATCTAACTGATGAGAAGAAGCACACCGAGGGCTGGCTGCACTTATATTCAGTCGAGCCGAGGCCTCACCTTTTATCCGATTAGAAGAAGGGAGTCCGGATCCAAGGACGAAACGGCCGGGACTTGTTGCCGTAGAAACTCCGAAAAGAACTGGAATTCGAATCCGAGCAATTACCGCAAGGGCTCCCGTCGATTGCTCCACTGCGCCTCGGAAGGATGCCCCACAACGATGGGAGAGGGAGAACCAACTAATTGCCCGCCGCAGTGTAGCCCAACGGCTCGGCCGTCCCAGGATCCGTGAGAAGGCAGAAGGTGCCGCCGGCGGGCTGGGGCTTCGTCGGCGGCGGTAAATGGGATGCAGGAGGCGTGGTGGGATTAGCAGTGGAAGGTGGCGGCGAGAAGGTGCTTGGCTCCGCCGTCTTCGTCGCAGGCGGCGGCGTTGTGGGGGCAGGTCGCCTTTGCAGAGGTGAGCGGAGAGGGCGTCAGTTATGCGACCGAGCACTGTGTGCTCCGCGCGAGCGAACGATTCCTTTTTCATTTTCTTTTTTGATTTTTTTTGAAACTGTCCAGCGCTCGCTGATTTTCATTGATTTAGCAGAGGGAGAGGTTACAAAGGGTGATCAAGTGATCAGAGTCTCAGAGAGATTTAGAATTACAATGCTCCAAGCCAAAAACACTCGGCTGCCCTATCCGGCACTATAGGTTTCTTCTTTCCCGAATGGGCTCTCAACACATCTTTCTCCTGCCAGCCTCCATTGCTCGAGGTCCCTTCTGCACCCGTCAATGATGCTTTTTACGCAAGGTTGCTTTTGTCTGAAAACGCATTCGTTTCGCTCCAACCAAATATGTCAGGCGATGAGAGCCACCATGGACTTGATGCATTTTCTGCTTGCAGTGGCGGTGAAGCCGATGATCTTCTGGATTCTCGCTGTGGTGGAGTCGGCTGGAAGCCACGATGCGTGACCTAGGGCGTTGCACCCTCCCCATCTTGCTGCGCTGCTCCAAACCCTGAGCGAGATCGGGCACTCCCAGAATAGATGCACCGAGGTTTCCAGGTTTCGCCTACAAAGTTGGCAGAAATAGTTGTTCTCCCACCCTCTCCTTTGCAGTCTATCGTTGCACCATAGACGGTCCAAATGCAGCAGCCAGAGGAACATTTTGATCTTGCCCGGTGCCCAAATCTTCCAGATCATCCCTCGGAACTCGTTTGGCCTTGCACTCTCAAACTGGGCCTTGTAGGCCGTCTTCACGGTGTACTGCCCAGAGCTGCCCAGCGTCCATCTGATGCTGTCCGTTGTACCTGCTGGATGGTGATCCAAGCCTGCCTTATGGCTCGAGCCATCTGCACGATTTGTGGCAGGATGTCTTCGAAGCTACCATGCCTGAGGTCAAGAAGCCATCTGTCTTCGTGTAGTGCTTCGCTAACTGATCTGTTCTTGCGTCGGGACCATGCAAAGACCGCAGGGTAGTCCTGCCGGAGCGGCCTACTCGCAAGCCATGGGCAGGACCAGAAGGAGGCAATCCGGCCATCACCGATGGTCACCACCATAGACGCTGCAAAGAGAGTGTGGTCTGCAGCATCACACGGGGTGTCGGTGCCAACCCAGGGCCTGGATGGGTCAGCCCAGCATAGCCAAAGCCAACGGAGGCGCAGAGCCCGGGCGAAGGCCGAGAGATCATGGATGCCCAATCCTCCTCTGGCCTCCGGCGTGGTCACCACCCTCCATGCCACCTTGCACTTGCCACCGCTGATCTCCTGGTCGTGTGCCCACAGGAAGCGTCGCCTGACCTTGTCTATCTCCTTGAAGAACTTCTTTGGCGCACGCAGCACTGATAGGGCGAACGTTGGCATGGCTGAAAGGACGCATCTGACGAGGACTCGGCGCCCTGCCAGCGGAAGGAGCCGGCCCTTCCATCTGGCGAGTCTAGCTCTGATCCGGTCTAGAATGAACTGCAGGTGAACTAGCCTAGTTCTGCCGGTCGTTAGGGGGAGTCCTAGGTACTTGACTGGAAGAGAGACTGTTGCACCCCCGAAGCCGTCAAGTACCTTGTGCGCCACGCGGTCACGATGAGTACGATTTAGCTCTACCATCAGACAGTGTTCAAGAAATCGCACCGGCAGCCGCTCCGACCCTCAATTCGGAGCCAGTTGCGCCATCCATGGACGGGTGGATAGACCCCGCCACGGAGGCCGTATCCTTTATGGCGATCGAGCCGAATATCTACCTTACCCTTCACGAGAGCCGTGTGCCAAACTGTCGGATCCTTCTCCGGCCATGGACTCCGAACCGCCTGCGCCCGTTCCTGTCGAATCCGATTGGGCGCCGATCATGGAGTTTACCTCCGTGGATATTTTTCAGCACTCGCCCTTTGGCGACATACTGAACTCATTAAGGTATCTCTCCCTATCAGGAGAGTCCTGGCCAAACTACGTCCGGCAGGATTGGGATGCGGATGACGAAGAAATTCGCCGCCCGCCCACCACCCACTTAGTAGCCACTGTCGATGACTTAACCGACATGCTCGACTTCGACTCCGAAGACATTGACGGTATGGATGACGATGCGGGAGGCGAAGAGGAAACACTGCCCACGGGGCACTGGACAACCACCTCATCATATGACATATACATGATGGACACACCCAAAGAAGGCAATGGCGACAGGACAACGGAGGATGACCCCTCCAAGAAGCAACTCAAGCGCTGGCGACAGCGGCGCCGCTCTAAGTCCCGCCAAGGCAGAAGCGGTGATACCGGCACCGGAGATAATAGCACTCCGGAAAGTGCCGAAGGCAACAACAATCCCCTCCAGCAAGATTTAGAGCAGGAGGATGGATAGGCCAGCCCTCCTGAGAGAGCGGCAGATGGAGAGGCGGAGGATGATAATTACATGCCCCCCTCCGAAGACGAGGCAAGCCTCGACGATGACGAATTCATCGTGCCAGAGGATCCCGTCGAACAAGAGCGCTTCAAGCGCCGGCTTATAGCCACGGCAAATAGCCTTAAGAAAAAGCAGCAACAGCTTCAAGCTGATCAAGATTTGCTAGATGATAGATGGACTAAAGTCCTGGCGGCCGAGGAATATAAACTCGAACGCCCCTCCAAGAGTTACCCAAAGTGCAGGTTGCTACCCCGACTAGAGGAGGAAGCACCGAAACCCACATCCCCGGTGTATGACGCGGCTGATCGGCCACCTCGTGGCCGCGACAGAGAGGCATTCCAACCAAAAACTCAGCCCACACCCCGACGCCATTCAAATAAAAAGGCATGGGGAAATACGCCAGACCTGCGAGACGTATTGGAGGACAAAGCAAAACACGCAAGATCGATCTACGGATCATGAGGGCGCGCCACTATGCGAGACGATAATCGTCACGTCGGATACAGTAAAAGTAAGTCCGGCCGGGCCGAACACAGCGGGCAAGACTCATTTGAGCTGTGTCGCGATATAGCCCAGTACAGAGGCGCCGCACACCCCTTATGCTTCACAGACAAAGTAATGGATCATCAAATCCCAGAGGGTTTCAAACCCGTAAATATAGAATCATACGACGGCACAACAGATCCTGCGGTATGGATCGAGGATTTCCTCCTGCACATCCAC